TGTGCACTTTGGAGTTATTGAATTGTCGAGAGCTGCTTTTTGGTTTTCTACAGTCTTCCCTGCCAAGGTTAACCTTCGCTAGGTGAACCTGCCACTGTTGCCGCCACAATGAAAACTCACAAGTGTAACAATTGTTTTCTATGGTTTGTGTGTTGTTTGCTTAATTAGGTAATCGGCTTGTGTTTTCATTTACAGTTGCATTTTAACTATGTATTTAAGAGCTTCGTCTGCGAAGTGCTGCAACTACTCGATGGCCAAAATGTGCAGCGAGAGGCAGAGCGAGAGAGAGAGAGAGAGAGAGAGAAGGTGTGAAATATGAACTGAAATTAGTTAACTTGCTACAGGATTTAGGCTTTATTTTACGGTTTAATTGGATTTGAGTGGTCTGCGGGGAGTCGTCAGGTGCAGTTGCTAATAAATGTTTGTTTATTTTGTTAATCATACGCCGCGTTGCACAAATCGCATTGACAAAACGCCAGTGCAGTGGCCGCATCCCCAAAGCTACAGTCATCACCTCAGCGCCCATTGTTGTCTAACTTTGCCAAAGCTAATGCGCGATTGGGATTTGGCGGCGCAGCCATCGTTGCCGGCTGCTGCTCGTATTGGTGTTGCTGTTGGCCACAGTCACATCATTAATGCCGCCAGAAGCAGCCAACATGTTGGCTAGACACACACTCGGCAACATGTTTGCTTGGCCCGGGCCGCACTCGAAGACTCTTACCGTACAGTAAAAAGAAGCTGTCACAATACGGCAATCTTCCGAGTTTGCCTGCTTTTGATCGATTTCCTCTAACGCGTCTACAATGAGCAGCATTTACATTTCACAGAACAAGTTGTGCATATCAATTAAAGCCAACCAACTATCTGCCAGAAGTTCAGTTCACATGCCTCGTATCATCATTAGACATAAGATTGCCTTTAAGCTGTCAAAGGCTGCCCCATGCCGCCCACCTGGCTGACAGTGGCCGCTTTGATGGTCTTTATATAATAGATAATTATATAATTTGAGCATAGCTTTTAAGCTTCAATTTCGCGCTGTTCATTTGCTTAAAATATGCTTTTTGCACCACTGTGCCGCATGTTGCTAGGGGTAACGGCGCTGCCGCTGCTGCAGCTGCAGTTTATTTATTTGCACTTATTGCTTTTGCCCGTTTTGTTTGGTCTTTTCGCCAATTTCGTGCGCCAGCATAACGATGGCAAAAATCGTTTATATACCCTGTAGACACCTGGCAGAGGCTAGTTTAGTGCGACAAGCGAAGCATGTTTGCTTAAGCAAAATCGATAAATATCGATATGTGAGACCTGTCCATATCATAAAGAATAAAGAATAAAATCATAAAGAATACTTAGCTTGACTTTATTAATAACTTATGGTCAAGTGAGCACGTGCAGGGTATCTGTGCGTCAGTCAGCCACAGCTGCTGCAAGGATTCTTCTTCTGTTGGGTTTTCCTTTGCTTTTCTTTTTTCTTTTTTGGGAGCTGCCAGGCAGCAAAAGCTGAAGAGCCAAAAACTGAGGAGCTGCAGCAGCTGCACTTTCACTCACTGGCCGCCCGCCCGTTGGCTCGCTGCGCGTCGCTCGCAACATGTTGAAAGCGAACGTTAAGCGAACCGAACCGCAGCCGAGCGGCGTGTCGTTTGTAGCTCGTCGCCAGTCACGAACCGCCGCCGCTTGTCAGTTGCGTAGCAAACGTCTAGCGTGAAGGTTTAGCAGCAGCGACTAAAGAGCCAAATAGAAGAGCCGGCGGCAGTAGCAGCAGCTAACTAGCAGCAGCAGCAGCAGCAGCAATAGTAGTAGAAGCAGCAACAGCAGCACGTGCAACCAACAGCAGCAACTGCAGCAATCATCAAGCATATAACCAACTACAACAACAACAACAACAACAACAACAACAACAACGTGCTCGTGTGTAAAGTCGAGTGTTCTACCATTTCTAGCCTCCGTTCGACTGCTATATGGTATTTTTTTGTTTTTGTTTTGTTTTGTTGTGTTTTTTTTTTTTTTTTTTTTTTTTGTGTCGCGTGTTGAGTGCAAAAGGTGCTTGAAAAGCAAATCAAAGTGCACAGCCCTGGAAACCTAATGTGTGTGTGTGTGTGTGTGTGTGTGAAAGCGAAGCCAATGAACGACTCTCAAAAACACTTGCAAACACGAGCAATTAGTGCAACGGCCAAGAACGAACAGTCAGAACTTGTTGCAGGGCACAGAATCCATGGAGCCCAAAAAAAACGCTTTACACAGATCGACTTTTGGTGACTTTTGGCTGTTGCTGTTGCCATTTTGGCCATATACGTGCATGTGTGTGTGTGTGTGTGTGTGTGTGACCCATATAGGGCTGTAGTGGTTTATGGCCCAAGCTAGATCTGTCTGTTTATCTCTTGCTCTCGCTCTCGCGTGGGCGTTCACCATTTATTGCAACAAATTAATTGCTTTTATTGATTGTTGTTGTTTGTTTAGCATAAAATTTAAGCCGTCACAGCTCAGAAAGAGCGACAGAGAGAGGGAGCTTGTTGAAGGGGCACGTGTGTGTGTGTGTTTGTGTTTGTGTGAGTTGTATTACGCGTATTATCGCTTGATCTACAACGATGTGACTATGGTCAGGTGGGGGACATAGATAAGCAAAAATCCAATTAATCACAATGATTAATGCTAGTCGCTTGCCCATATCAGAGACCCAAATCGGCGACCAGTTAGAAGCGCAAAGCCAACGGAACGACTTCGGTCGGCCACAGCTTCCTTGCCAGATGGAATTTGAATCTGGGCGAACCGACTGTCGGCCGTGCAGTCAGCCGTTGTCAAGCGGCTATGACTCAAGGAAATCAAAATCAAAAGCTCACACACACATACACACACAGCGACAATTTCTCATATCACTTGCTATCAATTAGCGCTATAAACGAGGGGGAGGCGTGCTAGAGGCAGAGGAAGAGGTAGAGCTAGAGGGCAAGTTCGACATAAGTAGAGTAACTAGAGTAGCGATAGACTTTGTCCGCACTCGCATAGTGTTGGCGGGAAAGGTGGGCGCCGAGGGCCTCTTACTGGCAGGCGAAAATGCGGCCGAATGTCTAAGAATTTTTGGCAGCAATCAAAATTATTGGACGGCCACCAAAACAAAAGAAACGAAAAGCCAACAACACGACAATGAGAACAACGACAATGTCTAGGAAAATTAACACATTTTATGCGCCAGCCAAAACTATTTAAAAATATTCATCAAGCGAAAAATGAAAAGCGACCCATGAACACTTTTTGCGAACAGCGCTAAAGTCGCAGTCGAAATGCCCTGCAAAAGTCGAGTCAGAAATTTATATATATATATATATGACTTGCAAACAAATTCTATTTGATCTTAAACTTAAATTGATTATAAAAAGTTTATCTATTCAATAAGTCTTAAGCCAAGCAATCTATTTCTTGATAATTTTCATTTTTAACCTTCAAAACTAATCTAAACTGCTATTAAAATTCGAAATTCTACAGACTTCTTTGTGCTCTTCTCTTCACAAGTTGCTTTATATAAATAATTGTATATTTTTATATATTATATTAAATTAATATTAATCCAATTTTGAACGCATTTTTCCAACTGTTTTTAATAATGAAAGAAGTGGAATAGTTTTGGGCAGTTTAATTCAGAATATGCTTTATATGAAGCAATGCTTATCATAGCTTATCTAAAGCTATTTTTCAATGTCAGCTTATGGCAATGCTTAGTACATATTCAGAACTTAAGTCTATATAAATAAAAAAAACTAGTCCAGAGTCATGTTGTGTTTTAGTTGTGCTTTATATGAATTTACGAAGCTTAATTTAACTCCAGTAATTTTCTATATTTATATAGAAACTGAACTCTGTTGAAGCAAATCCAATCACATCTAATCTCAACTTATTGCCCAATCCTAAGCACATTTTCACAACTGTCTCATATAGAGAAAGTTGTTTGAAGTCAGAACAAGTTCAATTCAGAATGTGTTGTATTTAAAGCAATGTAAATCACATCTAATCTAATGCCAAATCCCCATCCCGAACACACACAGTCCGAACTAAGAAACTTGTTGAAAATGCCTGGCCTAACACTTCCAACGCAGTGAGTGACAGCTTGGCTGTAGCTAGTGCAGGGTATACGACAGTACTATGGGAATTCATCAAATTGAATAGCTTTTAGTTCATATATATATATAGTATTTTACACATATATATATATGTATATATATTATGTTTTTTGCGGCTATGCTAAGTGCTAGTATATAGAGCATAATTAAAGCGTACCGCAGTGCAACAAAGTGCGTGTACTTCTAGCTTACAGCATATTGAGCTGTTGGGCAATACGTTCCAAGTGTGTATGCGTGTGTACCTGCCTCTCATTTGCTCTCCCTCTGCTCCCCTCTCTCAATCTCTCTCTCTCTGGCTGTGTGTGTGTATCTATGTGCAGCTGGGCTTGGGCTTAGAAATTCATTTCGGTGGCCATTAGACGTGAAACTTATTTATTTATAAAACACAACACAGAACGCGCAGTCGAGTGTATGAATTCTGTGCTCTGCAACAACGAAGACAAGCGACAAATTTAACGATAAAAAATAAAAATAAAAATAAACCAAAAGCAAAGGCAAAGGCAAAGGCAAAGGCAGCTGCAAAGGCAATAGCAAAAGCAAACAGCACCCCGAAATCGTTAGCCAAAGCCAAACCCAAAGCCAAAAGGTGCAAAAACAAGGACATCAAATATTTCATGAAAAATTAGAATAAATAAAAGCTACAAAAACTTAAATAAAATAAATAATATAAACATTATACGCACACACACACGCACACACAGTTTCCCTCTCTCTGTGTGTGTGAATTAAAATTTATGCTTTGTTTTCCTCTCTTTGCGCGTTAATTTCAACAGTTATGCCCAACTTTTTTGCTTATCAAATTCCACAGAAGTCGACCGAAAATAAAAAAAAAATTAAATCCGTAATAAATAAACACACGCGTTTGTAAAAAATAAAAATAAAAAAACACAATATAAAAAACAAATACAAGAAAAAAAAAACAAAAACAGAAGCAAAAGCAATTAAAAACGTAACAAATTTTGCCGTTAGTCAAGTTGGGGGCAATCGCCCAACGTACACGCAACGCGCCCCACCAAATATTTCAAGCAAAAAAAATAAAACAAAGAAAAAACATTTAAATCAAATCAACAACAACAACGAGGAGAAGGAGAGGTCAAACAGCAGGAACCGCAGCACAAACCATCGCACGAAAAGGTAATTTAATATCAGCGGAACAAATATTTAAAAAAAAAATTTAATTAATTCATAATTAATTACGAAACTACAAATTGCAACTGCAACTCAAACTCCAACTCAGATTCAAACTCAAACTACAACTGGAATGTTGCAAAGTGAAAAAAGCAAACTTTAAGCTGGAAAACGTTGCGCATACGTCGCGTGTGCCACAACAGAATGTTTGCGCTGGCTATTTGCTTTTGGCTGCACTTAATTCAATTCGCAACAAATTCAAATAAAATGCGTTCATTTAGCTCAATTGTTGACTGACCGACGGACTGACAAGCTGATGGATAGCTACACAATTTACATATGATTTATTTGCTTTGCATTGTTGCATCGAAATCATCAGGCGAAGAACTGGCTGAAAATACTTATGAACGCTCGAGAAAAGTTCAATTCAATTTTCGCTCTTGTCAATGAAACGGGACACAAAAGAAAAGAACAAAAATTATATTTAACAATTGGCGTTAGGTTGGCGACACCTCAGCGACAGGTTGACAGCGCGTGTCGATATTTAATAAAGCTCCTAGTTGGCCTGTCAATTTCCAGATGTCTTCGCTGCGGCTGGCATATGTATAGACAAATATAAGTTATGTATAACATTTTGATACCTCAAATCCATTGAATATGCCAACTCAGGGTATAATGGCCTCAGAGGCGTGCCAGAGTCCATAAAGTGTATGTATATATGCTGGTTCAGAAACTGAGTCTGTGCGTTTTGTGCGAGTTTTTCTTCTTTATTTCGATAACTCACGCCATTTGCTTATAATCGATAAGAATCGACTACATGATTTCATGTTTTATAGTTCGCATTTAGTATGCCTATACCCCAAACAGCATTTCAAATATGAGAGATACTTGCGGTTTATTAAATACACTCATCTGAATGTCATTATCACACTCTGCATTTGATTTGTTTAAGAAAGTTAATCTATAAGAAAAGTTTATCAACAAGAAGTCCCCATTGAAGCAATCCAAGCGCAGCAAGCATAGCAAATGCTATGTAGCAGCTCTGCATTGGCGTCACGGTATCTCCCAGTCAGGCACTCCCAACTAAAGTAAGCAGAGCAAATGCTGTGTGTGTATTGTTTGCTATGTATGCTCTGAAAGAAGCATAGAATGATGGGCATAGCAGCGCTGCATTGGCGTCACGGTATCTCCTAGTCAGGCACTTCCGACTAGAACACACTCATGGTTCATGGTTTGGCAGCAAAGCAACTTTAAATCGTTAATTTGCTCTTGAGTGCTCTTCTCATGCAAATCATATTTTTTATCTGTTAAATAGCATACACTTGGTATCTATTCACATATTGATATAGGCAATTGATTTGATTGTGCACTCGCAACAACAACAACAATGCAGCTCTGCACTATTCAGTCTGTTGACATCTTAATTGCTCGACTAACTTTCTACGTAGAGAGCCTGATTTGCTATGGCATTAGCACGCTGTTAAAGTTAAGCCGACGCTTCAAGTACAGCGATTGCAACTAATTCAATAAGCTTTTGTTTGACGACAACTTTAGCTAAGTTGTGTATTCAATAAGGGCTGACAGAGTTCAATGGGGACCATTGGTGGCGGCTACCAAGCGACCATTGGGAGGAGTGTGTGAATCAATAAATCATTTAAAGGATTAATTGCTTTGATTTGAACTAATTAGATGTGTTTTCTGTGTGACTTTCAAGGCAATGCACACACACAAACACAAATACACTCATGCATCACGTACACAGACACATGCAAGTCTGGCACTTGAATGGCATTTGTCTGCGATACCCACAAACACTCAGTTGCACTCAGACATCATGCTAAAGCGCCACTTGTGAATCGCACACACACACACACACACAGACACACACACACAGACACAGCCAAGTGGAAATGCAATTGGTGCAGCTTCTTCTGTTGTCGCTCTCGCATGTTGATGATAATGCCGTTGATGGGCCAGATAATTGCCGCCCAATTGCCTCGAAAGTTGAACAGTGAGAGAGATAAGTTAGTCGACCAGCTGTGCGGAGCTGAACTTTAAGTGCTGGAGCTGGACAACTGTTTTGCCTAAAACTAATCACGCTGGAGCAATGCGACACGTTTCATAATCGTTGCGCTGACGCTGCCAAAGCTGTTTAAGGCATTTAGCGGCGGCGGGTCTTAGGCAGGGCCGATAAGATAATAGCGCACCCACGGACGCTTACAGGTATTGGTGATAGTCTGATAGTTGGGCACAAACAGCAGCGACTTAAGTCTCTCAAGTCTCAAGTATCGGGCGCAATTGCTGATTCGATTGTATACGTCGGTGCGTATTGTTCGACACACCACGTACAAGTTGTGTACATTGTTAATGCGTGTACAATATCGAAAATATCTCTGATTGACGTATACACTAATTAATAGGCGACATTCTGGCTGTGCGGCATACACACTCTACTCTCCCTCTCTCTCGCTCCGTCTCTCTCTCTCTCTCTCTCTCTCTCTCTCTCTCTCTCTCTCTCTCTGAGATTTGAATTGCTTGATAAGTTGCGACACAATTGTATTCGTGCATCGATAAGATTTGAGATAAAGTTTCGAGCTTTAAACAATATGCCATCATCTAAATATAGAACCAGCCAGAGGTGTGTCTACTTTTCGACGTGACTGTGCGCTGTTCAGCCACCAGCCACCAGCCACCCACAGCCAACTCGCAACTGGCAACTGGCAACTGGCAACTGGCAACTACCAGCTGAGGCTAAGGCGAAATGTGTCGAGTCGTGTCGAGTCGAGACACCCTGCACTTATTTCAAGTGGCCTGCACTCCAGCGACCACTTAAAGGATTTGCATTTACACAGTGTCAATTACTGTTATGCAATCCTTTATCTCGCCCTCTCTCTCTCGCTCAGACACACACTGCCTGCTTATCTCTTTGGCAAATATATTTTGCAGTTGATTGGCAAATTAAGACAAATTTGTTGAAAGTTGTTCACATTGCCAAAGGCGCGCGCTGTTCATAAAAATAGTAGTGCAACTGAGCTGTTGACAAATGCAATTTAGTGCTAAGCGCAATATTATTATTTTATTTAATATTATTTTCTTATTAATTAAGATGACTGAAAGTAACGGGAGTTCGCTGTGATTCAATGGAAGGAGTATCTTTTGATATGCCTTTTGCTTTGGTGTCATGCAGCACTACTATTTTTATGAACAGCTCTGCATATATATACTATATATATATATATATATATGTGTGTGTGTGTGTCTTCGGGGCAATTTACATTCAAATAAATGTAACAAACATCTACTGAGGTTTCGCATGCGCCTGACACACAGCTCGACGCATTGCATTGCCATTGCTTCCCTTGGGCTTGACTTTTTCTGGCGCATTCGAGCTAATATAAAATTGTTTGCCAGGCTTTAGTCAAATGTTACGCAATTGCAGCAGCACTTGCAGCTGACTTGTGGCAACGGCTGCAACTGCATCGGGCCAAAGGTTGTGCTTTGCCTGCTGACATTCCCGTCGGCTGTGGCGTTACGCAAACAATTTAATTGCCATTCAGAAACACATTTATTTGTAGGTTTTCCTTTTTTAATAACAGAAGAAGAAAGAAACCAAAAATAAATTGTTATTTCTCTGTATTATGCAACCAAATGATTGGTTTGGTCTGGATTTCCAGTATCACAAGTTGTTCATAACTAGATACAAAGTTAGTATTCATTTTAAAAATATATATATCTATGTTGCTTCCCTTCTAAGCCAGCTTTTATAGCTAGTCATTCACTTGTGGTTAGATTTTGTGCCACTCTTGAAGTACTTCAAGAAATCATTTCGTGTAATCTCATTCAGCTGCGCCATCGATGTCATCTTAAGCTACTCAACCTAGCCTGCTTTCTTGTGACTCTTCAGTTCTGCGCTAAGAAGTTAAAGTCAGTCTCTTCTTTTTGGCTAAAACTTTGCTGCAGATTCTAAGCTTCAACTTTGTAGACAGAAAGGCAAGTCGAACTTCTCGAACTAACTGAGGCCCACAGCTCAAGTCGAACATCGAATAAACATGACCCAGAGTAATTCAACATTGTCAATACTTTTCCAACAGCCCTCGTAATATTTAAACATCTGATTTGTGAAATGATTTAGTGTTTGTGTAAACTCAACTTAATTGAACTGAAAGCAAATGTTTGCAACTAAATATGCTTCGCCATTTCTTGGCCAAATTGAGCTGAAATTTGATTTATAATGAATAAATAATCGAATGGAATTCAAAGGCTCTAAAGGCGCACACTCTAATAGCTGCAGCTTTCGATATTGATGAACGCAATCACAGCTATTTCCTTTTATAAATAATTAGTTCTCTTTGGGTACTCGCTGCTTCTGCTACTTGTTCTTGGTCTTCGGCTTCGTGTTCTTTTTCTGCAGTCAATCAGAGCTCAAAGCTTTGCTGAATAATAAATTGCGTTTGAATGCCAGTTTGAAAGGAATTGGATTTCTTTGCCAGCAACTAATTTGTGAGTGAAAACAATTTTCTTGAATTCGCACACAAACACTTTCGCTTTGTGCCATTTTCAATTACTGTTTCATGGCCTGGCCTGGCCTGGCCTGCCACTAATTACAAATTGAATTCATCACATTTTATAATGTCAAACGGAATTGATGCTGTCATATATGAGCTTCTTGGTCGAAATGGTTTTAGCTTGCCGAGTTGTTGCTGGCCACAAAATGGTTTTGGCCATTTGAACTTCAACTTGACACAAATTGCAGGCACTAATTTGTCATTAGCACGCCACAGCAACAGCAACAACAACAACAACAATGATAATAATAATGTCCAGGCCAACAAATGGCTACCGACAGGTTGGCAACTTCGATTTGCGTCTCAGCTTGGCAAATTATATTGTTTTTTGCTGCTGCTGCTGCTGCTGCTGCTATTGTTGTTGTTATGCAAATTGGTTGCCTAACTGAACCTGAGACCACATCGAACGCATAAATAATCAATATGTGTGTGCGGGCGCGT